TGGAACAAGAAACGCAGCCCCAATGACTGCACGAGCTACCGTCCAGTCAGCTTTTCATAAGCCAGTTGTGGTTTTGTGGCAGGCTGCAGCACCATGGACACATGCCAATCGTCTTATGCTGGAAAGACACCGTGAGAAAAGAAAAGCTGTGCATCTTGCCTTCCTGGACTTCGGTTGCATTTCTCGAGAAGTTATAGCTTCACGGGCGAGCAGGGTCAACCCCATCGTTGTAACTTCTTGAAATTTTTTACGATCCCCCCCCCCCAAGGTGGATTTGGTACGACCCCTTTTCCACACCTCGACCACCATCATCGTCTCTATAGTCTTTAGTACTGATACCACTCAACTCACCAGACTACTCCCACTTACGCGCGCTGAAACAGCAAATTCTGCTCCTGCGCCCCTCTACTCACCCAGCCTACCTACCCATAAAAACTTGTTTTACCTCAAACTCACATGTGATTTCAAGCGACTGGAACGAGTACAACCCCCTACCCCTCCTACAAACTCAGCCACGGGTACGACCCTCCTCCTACAAACTCAACCACGGGTACTACCCCTGTTACGGTTGGTTCAGTGGTAGAGATTTATTGACTCTTCTAAACTATGATACATTACGTGGTTTATATACGGTCACAGCCTTACCAGATGTTACAGTACTAACAGATGTCTACGCAAAAAGCAACGCCAAATGCTAGTGTAAGAAAAGGTGGCTAATTCTACAGATTCTGGGCTGCACGAGAAGTTAACTACTGAATGTTATATAAGAGGGTCGTGGCTAACCACGACAACCCCCTCCTACAAACTCAATCACGGGTACGACCCCCTCCTACAAACTTAACCAAGTACGACCCCCCGTTGTTACTAGTAACAATGTAGGGTTGACCCTGCCGGCGAGTTCCTTAACAGCTCATTGAGTGGGTGCGACTACTTCACTCAAACCAACAAGTCGAGGGCAATGGTAGCAAGTACTGAAGGAATTTCCCACCTCCGACGGGGTACACTAATCGTAAGGCTCTGCGCTTTCTCCACTCTTATTCGTTGGTGGGCATGGATGCCATTCCATGAGGTATTCAAGCCTGTACCATGGACGCTTCTTTATGCTGATGACGTTATGCTCACCTGCGAAGACAAACACCTACTCAAGCAACAAGTGCAAGCTTGGTCTGATCGACTGGAGATTTCGAACTCAGGCTGAACATCAAGAAGACCCGAGTATTTGACAACCAAATCGAATGAGCTTGTCTTATCAAGATCGAAGGTACTGAGCTTCCACGCACAACGACCTTCAATTACCTCAGATCGTAATAACTTCGTATAGCATACATTACGTCGCTCGAAGTAAACCGGTGTAAGGCAGTGAGGTCGCAAATAGGCGAACGACTGTTCACCGGTGACGAAGAAGATACTAGAGGCGACTCGAGATCGTAATATCTAGCGCGACCGTTATCCGTGTCGCTCATTCACGAGGAGCCGTCTGCCCAAGACTTAGGAAGCCGACGCTCGTCTCAGTGTAATGGAGATAAAAATGTTGCGATGGGCGCGTTTGGACCACATCTGTAAGATGTCGGTCAGACTCTGCGATTGCATCGCGATGGACCAGTGCCGAAGCGACGCGATCGCTCCATGGCTTGTCAATCGCGATCGCGACTGCGCAATCTCTCTGCCAAAAGTGCAAGCGGCGGGCAATGGCCCGCCACGATCGATACCGATGTCGACTGCATCGATGTGGGCGGGGCCAATCGCCCGTCGCTTGGTGCACATTACAAGCGCGACTCTAGGCAGAGCGATTACATCGCGATTTACAAGCGGTGGAGCGATCGCGTCGCTCCGGCACTGGTACATCGCGATGCAATCGCTGAGTCTGACCGCCATCTAACGATGTCATCAGAGAGCGGTTCGGTGCGGCTCGCCCGCTTATAAGATGCGCGGAACTTGTCTTAGGTGGACAGTCAGCAGGGTGAATAACGGTCGAGGAAATCCTCGACCATAGCTCTCTACCATGCGAGAGTAGTGCCGAGAGTGAACATCCGCGCGGAGAGCACAGACGGCACGGCATGGCGAGTGTGAATGTCCGCGCGAGAGATCGTCTCTGATCGGGCAGAGAATCCTCGACGTGCCGTTGAGGAATCCTCAAGCGATATTCACCCTGGTCACGTCCTTGCGGAAATGACGGTATAACGACGGTCCATGAAAGTTCCTAACTCATTCCTAACTCACGTTAGAGCTTAAACGATTAGCAGATAATTCAATCCCATGGAATTCACTGTAAAAATTTAATCTACTGCAGCTTGGGTGTGAATCAGTGATTAATAGACAGAAAGCTTCGCGTTTCGCACGCGGAAGCATTTCGTTGCGGCGAAACTCCAGATTCACTAATGATCAGCGTTGGACCTTAGGTCCCTGCAGCGGAAAATATTCGCGCTACGAAGGGTGAAAAATTTCGCTGTCTGTCCTGGTGAACCACAACCCCGCAGCTTCCGACAGCCTATTTTACACGGGTTGCGACCGCATGCATGTAAGTGAGTGTGTGCATGGCCTTCCACAAAATGATGAAGTACCTCACCTTGTTTCTCTAGCGGATATTTGATGCCAAAGTGGCTTTCATAAAAGTCCAAACATTTCATTCCGATGTCTAATGCGTACGATGTCCTATGAATTGCTCCTGGACGTGACCATATTCGGAACTGAAAACAAATCGTGTTATTCAAACTCAGGGCGAAATGCTGATAATAAGAAAACGCACCCTCACTCCCGTGTTGGTATGGCCTTCGACAGACTTAAATTCGCCGACAACAACGGCAAGAAGGTAAGACGACATTTTCGGCGTTGTTGCAAATTTACTCACCATCCAGGGGCCGTTTGAATCTCTGAACGGTTTACCTGGCATCAAACAAATAGGAATAAAGGTGCCTTTTTCTCTAGTTGTGTAGTGTTGTTTGCTACTGCGGTGGGTGTATGTCAAGAGAATCGCCCGAATCCCCCACGCTACTGGTTGTGGCCGCGATCTCGCAACTAAAGTGGACGAGTTTTCGTGAGCGGTAGACCCACCCCAATCCTTCAATCTCAACCAACTGCTCTAATCGTCAAATTCGAAAATCTCGCGATCCTCCGAAAAATGCCGCGTTGCGATGTCGTGCAAGTGGCCGCACGCGGCGGTACGATTCTGTTGACCGCTCCCCTACTGCGGTGAGTAGTGCAAAGTCGCCGCTTGTCATACGCAATCTAGCGCGACTAAAATAAGCGGCTATTGCGTGATAGCGATAGGTGCGGGATTCCATAGAAAGCAAAGAGCGGCGAACTAACGTGCGTGAGATGGTAGCTTCGCTACAGTACTCTTAGTACATGCACAAATTGAAAATTTATATAGACTTGCCCTAATCACCTCAAGCATGATCTCGCACTCCTTTTATAAATCTGTGGAAGGGGAAGGTTTTGAAGTTGTAAGTTCGCTCACTTCTCGCTACTGATCTCCTTTCCATTGGATAGAGCCGTGGTTCCTTGTGGATGAATTAGCGTAACTGCCCATGTTGCTTTGAAAGCTGGCTCATCAAAACAAGGCACCATCCGACGAGCATTGCTTGGCTCAAATTGAGAAACTACAGCAATCCTAGGAAGAAAAGATTTACGAAATGTAGTTAATATAGGACCTGAAAGGAGTAGTTCAATAAACGGCGAAAACAGTGTGGAACTCAAGATGAACACTCGAAGCGAAAACAAAAAGAAACACCCAATCTGCTAGACATCACTACCCTAGGGCCGGATATAATATCCGCAAAGGACGCCCTCTTCCAGGGTCAACCTGACCGAGCAAGGCAGGAGGGTTGTGCTCGATATTTTTGGTAGGAGGTGCTATCTGGGGGTAATGAAGGTCAAGTGAGTTCAAAAGTGGTCCTAATTGCGGAATTTGAACGGGTTCGTGAAGGGCCCGTTCTGAGAGTTTTCGAGAATTCTTGTTTCTTGACTTCTTTTAATTCTGCGGACTTTTCGGTTGTTCCCCGCGGACGAGCAGACTTCGTAAGAACCCCTCGTACTACGCATATCGGATTCGTCGTGCTCTGTAGCCAATTCTCGGGCACCTTCCTCTCTGACGATCTGGATTAAAAACTTGGTCAAGAATTCCTTTGACTTCCATAGGTTGGGTGCTCGTCAGCAGGACTACAGTACATATATTATTGTACTTACCACTAGTGACCTCTTACCTATTATTAAGATATGGTGGCTGTATCTGATTTCGAGGCTGGTGCGATGGAAAACTGGGGGCTTATAACCTACAGGTGCGCTCTATTTTTACGCTTTCTTTGCCGAGTTAGTCGCGAATACCTTATTCAGAGAGGCTGCATTATTGTACAATGAAGCAATATATTCCTTTGCGGGTAAACTCTCAGTTTTAACAGCCATAGCACACGAGCTGGCACACCAGGTAAGCTACTTTCGTCACTGGCTGCTGCTTTTCGAATTCATAGTTGATAACGGTTGCCACTTTTCTGGATCATGGAACTGAATAAATAGAGATGCTCAAGACAGTGATAGCAGTGGACCTATGGGACTTATGGCTTTAGGGTAGCGCTGCTCATAAAGGATGGAGTGATGAAGCATTTGAAGTTGGCCAACTTTTTTTTGGATGGGCCACGTCTAGTCCCCTTAAGGAGGACTCCTGGTACCAATCAACCGACCATGTGGGTATGAAAGGCCCACTTGGTGTGGACATTGTCCGACCTAGGATTTGATCCTTAAACCACAACCTCACTCCTGTGTGGTTGCGAGATCTAGTCCACCAATTACGTTCAGTGACGTCATCATGACACCATCGCTCTCCACCCTCGTGATCATCATATTAAAGTGACTAGATGCACAGTATAAAGGAATTCGAATTCCATTTTCAAGGCTTACTCTGACATCCGAATTCCCAGTTGTCTGTGTGGGGTGAAAAAAAAACAAAAAGGGAATGCATCAATGCATCTTGGGGGCAAATTTCACTGTAAAGTGCATTTTGGGCGCACGATTTAGCAAGCGTTGAATTTTTCGAATATGAAAGATCGCTCTTTGGTCTTATCGTTAGCGCGACGAGAATCAAGGGGCTTCAATGTCACAGCGCGCAGCGCCAAGTGATTGTGGCTACGGGGCACGAACGGTGCTGCATCCCGGTCGCAGAGCCTTCCCTCGAGAGAACTTGCACCCAGCCTTGCGCGGGCTCAGGACCTGGTTTCTTCTCTTGACAGCGCTCTGATCAAAACACTGTTACGGCTTCGAGCCACTCCACTTTCCGCCTAAGACAGATATGATCCACACACCCACCTCCTGTTTACTCTGGTTTGTCGACTTGTTAATCACTGCTCATGGGAAAGAAGTCAGTTACCGTCCTTTTGGTGATCGAGCATTTGCGATTAGACGCAGAGCTCAATAGGTTGTAGAGCCCTTCAAAGGTATGCACTCTCCATCCCAAAGAATTCACGTGGGATAGATGAGTGTTCAAAGCAGGGACCCCAGATGATGTTGTGTCGAAGACTATTATGTGGGTGGGATAGGTGGTTCACCAGTGCCACAGATATGTCGAAGTCGCGGCTCGAAAGTGCTCGAAAGTGCGCGATAACTGCGCTAGAGCCTTAAAAAGTGGGCTGAAAGCGGCTTCTTGAGCTTATGGACGAGTTACCTCGTCGCACCTACGTGGCTTGACAGAACCAATTATGAATACGAGCGCTACTGCTATCTATATTTTTAGTGGTTCGGAAATCTAGTTACAATGAAGTGGTGGAATGATCTGTGGTTGAACGAAGGCTTTGCAACATACATGGAATTTATTGCGTTAGACAACATTACAAACGGCGTAATGAATCTGGTATTTTTGGAAATTTTCTGAAGATAATAATTGCAAAAAAGTTTTTTTTTTCTTTCAGAAAGACTACTTCCTGGTTTCAAAGCTTGAAAGAGCTCTACAGGCGGATTCCGTTGCCACGAGTCATCCGTTGTCGTTCAAGGTGGACAAACCAGTTGAAGTATCTGAAGCTTTCAGTCCTATATCCTATGCTAAAGGAGCTTTGCTTGCTATGGTTACTGCCTTGATGGGTAAGGAGAATTTCAACGAAGGAGTAAGGGTGAGTATTGCAGTTGGGTGGATAGGTTGCTTTTCAGGCTATTTTTGTTCCTAATAATAATTACAATCAAAAGCACACCTAAGGATGAATTTAGGTGGATCAATCCCATTAGGGATGAGGTAGAGCTGTTCACAATGGCGAGGACGCATTTGGTTCCGCGCCAAATGTGCGCTGCAAAGACATCAGAAGCTTTCTTCGCCCGCAATTCTCGCTTCTAGCAGCTTCATCTATCGTCCCCTCCCCTCAGCGCAATTGGCGTACTATTCGCCCACCTCGCGTCTTCTCGCGTCTGAGCCAGGGTGAAAATCGTGTCGAGTACGTGGTCGCAGAGGTACGACCCCCCCCCCCGAAATCGAGATCCTGGCACGACCCCCTCTAACAGAGCAAATTAATTCAATTAAAATAAATCCTGCAAAACAAATCAAAAAAAATTCTGCAAAATAATGCTAAGGACGCTTCATCTTGTCATCTATGCACGTCTTTCATCGCTGCACACTTTTGTGTATTTACTGAAATATCGACTCGAGGAAAGAGGCATTAACTTTGTGTGACCTCAAAGTCAGGTTCGTTCAGAAATGCACAGAAATCCTGAAGGCACGGGGTTGCGATTCAATCTTGATTCTTGCTTGAGTATATCAAAACAGCCGAGTGTATCATCAAGGCCGATTCAACGGCAGCTGCGGCGCGATTGTCACTGGGTCAGATTTGCTGAAATCCCGAAAAAAACCGTCGAAATCTACACCCTCGATGAAAAGGTTGCATTCCTCCATTTCATAACCTTTGAAGCAGTTTGAGGTAGGGTTAGATAGAGCTGGATTTCGCGTTTCCAAGAAGTATTGAAATTGCTCTGAAAGTCTTCCATGCAGAAAGATAGGGTCTCTCAAATTTCGTCGAGTAAATGTCGAGGAGGCTGAAATTTTCACGCGAGTTTTTGCCACTTCAAGAGCAATATATCTCTTATATTGTAAGATCCTGAAAAAGGGAAGATAGTTTTGGAAAGCGGAAGGTTTGCGCTTCCTGATGGTCTGTTTAGTTTTCTTCTACAGCTTTTGGTTGAAGAGATAATTGCGTCGAGGATCTATCGAGGACGGATCCGGCCACCTGGAAATCCGCTCCCTCATTCACCATTGCAAGTGTGATTCGTTGGCAACACTCGGAATGTGTCTAGAACGAAATCTTTCAACGCAAGCAATAAGAATAGGGGCAATGGTATAAGCCATGCATCCGTCCTCCACTCACAGTTGCAGAATCGATTGAAAGGTGTTATATGATGGGGACCTTCGAACGAAACTGTATTGTAGTAGACATAGTGTGTTGTGCTATTCCTGTAACCTAAAAAACAACTTCATTTGCCCAGCGCTTTTTCTTCACGGTTGTCGTTTTTCCGACAGGGTCCCTAACAACAGCGTCATTCTCAGCGAGGTATTAAGGGAGAAGGAGCGAGTGATAGGCGGAGGAGGTGCCTTTGCAGCGCGTGCGCACATGTGGCACTCTTCTTTGCGGGGATGCACTTTCATTCTTTGTACTGCCTTCAAATACGCCCTTCTCATGAAGGTGGAGGAATGGAGCGACTGAACCTGCAAAGAAAATTTAATATCATGTTTTTTTTCGGATGTTTTCATTTTCTGCTGCGCTATACCCTACCTATATCTGCACCATGATACCACTTCTGTTACTGACCCCCAAGAGTACGACCCCCCATGGACCAGCCCAACAGGTACGACCCCCCTGTCGAGGATTTCCTCGACCGATATTCACCCTGGTCTGAGCTTGCTAACCGTTCGAAGAGAGCGTTAGCGGTTGAAGAGCGCAGAATCGCATCATTGCGGAAAGAGGAGGGGTCTCATTTCTCGGTTCTCAGGCCATTTCTCTCGCTTCTTCTTTCGTGCATCTTTGACCATCTCTAACTTAATTTCCAACGGGCTGCATTTTCATCGTAACCGTTTGTAAAGGAATGGTCAGGATTGGGCTATCAATGAAACCCTCCCTATCAGTACTGTTCATGAGTTTATACACACAAATGGTTCACAGCCACTTAGTGCGAAAAAGCGATTGCAATCGTCAGAGTATTAAAGGCAAAACTGGGGGTAAAATGAGTGCGGAAGAGCGTCAGTAACGAAGCTGGTGGTGGTGGAGGGTGAGTGGTCTGAAAAAGAAAAGAAAGTAGGAGAACCCCCTCCCCAAGTTAATCCCTTATAAGAATTTCTTCCACTTCGGCCACATTCCACGATTGGCACGCAACTGCGCAATCGCTTGCAAAGTGCACATGCGACGGGCGATTGGCCCCGCCCCCAATCAATGCAGTCGGCTGCGGTATCGATCGAGCAGAGGGCCTTCGGACGGCCTTCCACATTCTATAAATGGGCAACTTTCCTCGAAAGTTGCACATTTATAGAATGTGAATAGTCAAAGCAAAAGAAACCATAGAACCCTACCAATAAGGCATTTGTTGTATCTGATTTGGGAACTTGT